CTCCCCGAACTCCAATCTCTTAGAGAGCTATCACTCAACAGCCATCTTCAGCTTGTATTCAACTCCTCGTATGTCGTCTCTCCAGCCCGTATCTCTCTCACCCCGAGTCGATTCTGTTCAGCGCCGCTTCACATGCCCGCCACTCGATTCCTTTGGTGGGGATCTTTGTGTTCTGGGTTATTGACTCGGGTTTGGGTAGGCTGGCGGTGACGGGGGAGGGGGCTGCCTGCTCGGCGCGGGCTGCATGAATGGAGTTTTTGTTGCCTGTCTGGTGCCCACGGTCGTCAAATGAAACGTGCACCTCGCGCTCATTCTTTCCTGTAACATGAAACAGAAAGTTCATTTTCACCTATTGCAGATTTTCTTCTCGCTTTCTGTCTTCCATTCATCGGTCTCAGGCATGTTTTTTTAGAGTGAAAGGCCGGAAGCAGAAGAGAAGATGGTGCGTCGGTGGAATTGAGATTCCTACACCTTCCGTTTGTCTGGTCGGAGTGCATGAGTCTGGAGCTTACAGCCGAGGCTATCTAAAACAGTCCTCCACTGATGACATGGCTATCCAAAGTCCTACCGTTTAGTTTTGTAATGATCCATCGACGGACAAGGAGGCAAACGTAGTAGTCATGCAGTGTCGCACACTCGGCGATCGGCACCGTGCCAAGCATAAACATCCCTTCAACAACCCAGGCTTCACTGTCTTCAGGGAGCCTGTTCCGCAGGCAGCTCGGAAATAGCTTCTCGACGAGGTGCCTGAGGAACTTTGACTTCTGCCCTTTGCGCATTCTCCCGTTGGCATCAAACAGCGCTTGCGCTTCCGGCACTGTTTGAGTGAGGGAGGGATCAAACGGCACGTTCTTCCGAGATGCATCGTATGCTCGTTTGTACACTAGCGAGGCCTGCTTCTGTTGCGCCGCTTGCGCTGAACGAGGATTCCCCTTTTTGACTTGAGTTGGTCTAACGCTTTTAAAGCCTAACAAATGTTGCTTCTTGGCAGGGGGGAGTCTGCTAGTTGGCAACTCTTGGAGGATGGTGTGCTTTACGAAGTCGAAAAGGAGGTTGGTTCCTACAGTGCGGAAGCCTAGGAGGTCGTCTTCGGATTGGCGACGGGCTTCCTTTCCGCTGAAAAGGTGCCACAGCTTGTCGCCCGGATGTGCATCCGAGGGAACAGGTGAGAGGGAGCTAGACCCTAAGAGTTCTACCGCCCCCTGTATGTTTGTTTCAGAGTTTTGGTGCGCCCCTAAGTCTGGTGCACGGGGGAGCCTGACTGTATTCCGACGGCCGCAGCTGACTTGGACTTTGAAGATCTTGAGGGTCACGCTCCTAAAGTTTAGATAGTTGGTGCTAAGAGAGGCGGCAGTGGGCGGTCGATTCATAGACATTTTCAGGTCCCGGTTGATGAGCGTCTCGTGCGCTTCATCGAGCGCCAGGCTTTTGTAGGGACGTCCTTTTAGGCTGACGGTCCACAGTCCCTGCTTTAAAGCGCCGGAAATCTCGGGGGGCAGCTGCTGGAGGTGCGCGAGGTGGAGAGGTATCAGCCGCTGGTAGTGCGTCCTATCGTAGGCTCGGAACAGGGGGCCCAGCAGCTTGTAGGCCGCGACGCGCAGATCCCAGTCCTCAGTCCTAATAGCTAGCCACAGGGATATGTACGCCTTCATGTCCACCATAACAAAGCGCCACCAAAAGCCCAGGTTTTGTTTCCTTCCTGCAGCGCCTCGCCCTAGGACCGGAATTCCTCCTCCAAACCGTCCAAGTCCTTCCGCGCTGCCGCCAGCACTGCCTGAACCTGCGCGGTGAGAATCAATCGCTTATCTTTCTGGTTTTGTTCCCTGCATTTCTTTGAGTTCAGATGCTTCTAAGACAGTCCTGCACTTTTGGCTGTATTGACCTGCTGGTCGACATCAAGAACGCGATTTTGTAAGCCTTCTTTCTCTGACCTTGGCAAGAAAGCAAAGTAGTCGGACGTGACTGCTCTCGATGCTAGCAAAACAACATCTGAGGAGCTAGCCAGGGTGTTGCGTGAATAGTGTGGGCCTCGCAGGCACAGAACACAGAAATTTCGAGAGCGAAAGAATGCACATATGTGGTCAAGACTCTGTCCTACGAATTACCTTGGGGACTGTGGCATCAGTTCGTGTCGTGGGGTTCGCTCCTCCGGTTCCCAATCTTGCTTCAACCCCCTGAACGTGGCCTCCACGGTTGCCCCTGCCCCATCAGGGGCGTACCCCTTGCCCTCCAGAAACAGCTGGATCATCTTCCGATACATGGCCTCCCAGCACTCTATCAGGAACAAGTTGTTCCTTCGAAAGTTCCGCCCATCTTTGAGGCTTGTTTGGACCGCCCCTTCTGCATACCCCATCTTTCCCGCCAGCTTGTCCAGCCCCGCATCGAAAAAGATCCTTTTGAATATGGGCTGGGCGTTCATCAGCGTGTGCCAATCGCCGGGGAACGGGTATAACCAGGCAAAGTCTCCGGGCATGTCGTTCTTTATGTCCACCATCAGAGCCCAGGCCTGCTGGTCGCCCACCACCAGCAAGTACGGTTGCCGGATGCCAATCTCCATGGCGCTCTTAACTCGGCACAAACACTCCGTCAACTCCTCTTTGTTGCTAACCTTCAAGTCGTACGTGGCTACGTACACAATCTTCGACTGCTCCGGGAGTGTTGGCTGATCAGTTGCTGACGCCATCTCGTCCCTTAAGCTGGGCCTCTTTACCCCTTTCTCTGTAGTTCTCTCGCGGCGGAGGACGTTCCTGAACAGTCGCTTGTCGAAGCTACTGCTGCTTGCAGCCTCGTCAGCTGTCAGGTTTAGAGTTTCTGACGCCGTCTTGTTCCCATGCAGGTCGGCAAAGGGACCGTGGTAGTGGGTTCCAGCGCCATCGAGGACGGCGCTTTTGACACCCCCGGACGGCTCCGCCTGAGCGGCTGCTTCACTCCCCTCGGCGCCCTCCTCCCCGTTCCCACTCTCCCCCGTTGCTGCTGACCCCGTCGCTGGCGGCGCGCCACGGCCGACCCTCTCGGTGAGACTCCTAGATCTCCGGTTCTGTCGCCCAATATTGCTTTGCGGCTCCGTAGAAGGTGGCGGAATCCTTGCCGCCGCCGCGCGTCGTCTGATTGACGCTTTGCAGTGCAATTGAACCGTGACCCCGTGGAAGTCGACGGCCTCTTTGCCGTCGTGCTTCACTCCTCCCGCAACCTTGTCGACGTTGTCCACGCTCACGACCACGTGGGAGAGCTCGACCCGAGAGGGAGCTGCTTGAAAGGCCCCTCTGCCTCTTTGCGCGTGCCCACCTCGTAGATGTACCGGTCGAGGGTGGATTTGCTGGTCGTAACGCCGAGGTGGTTTAGGACAGCGATCAGTGAGGGGGAGCTGCTCATGCTCTCTACGACGTCGGTGAGGGCTAGCTGGAAGGGGTGTTTTGCCTGCGGGTTAGTTGCGTATATGAGGACGCAAAGCGCAAAGAAAGTCCGAAGCTTAAATAGCTTTCCTTCATGCGAGTCGCTTCCTTGCAGGAGCAGCTTGGATTGGCCGGAACAGCTCCCGACCGACGGCACCGCTCCAGAGCCCCCCCGCCCGTTCGCCGCTTCGTTCCAGGTAAGGCGCTCTAGCACGTCGAGGAGCTTTGGGTCGAACTTTTGCATCTCCTCGTGCACGTCGAGTTTGCTGATGTCGAACCCTGGCTGCCCCTCGCCCCCATTGTACGCAGGACCACGGAGCCGTTTTACCTCCTCGCGCACTAGCTTGTTCAGCTCGACGGCCAGCGTTGCCATGTCCGGCGCTTTTGAAGCGTCCAACTGCTCCCGCAATCCGTGAAGCTCCTTCATCAACCGATGGATCTCTCGATCGTGAAAGTGCCAATCTTTGTGCAGCAGCTCCACCGCATCCTGAGTTTTAGGCCACAGGATAGTTCCAAATGGCCCCATGGCCGTGTGCCACTTGACGTGGTCGCTCATTCTTTCTTTGACAACGTGCAGGACGTCGTCCGCTCTTGCCGCCCCGTCCAAACCGTCCGCAATCTTGCTCGTGGTCGTCAGCTTGCGTCTCCCAAGGACCGCGCTGTTGACCTTGGTGATGATCTCAGCGACAACCGCTTCTGCAGACAAGTGGGTGAGGTCAGTGCTTGCTTGTCTGCTGTCTTTCCACAAGTTGATGATGACGTGGCATGGGAAGTACTGTTTCTGAGACTTTCATATCTCTGCAGCAACTTGAGCCTAATTCTGAAAGCACTTTTTGAGGATTGCTAACCTGGAAGCCTTCCCCGTTCGTCGCGGTAATACAGTAGTAGAGCCGGAAAAAGGATGTTGTCTTCCCGTTTGCGGTGCTGCAATTTGGAAATCAGGTTTACTTGGACTTGTGCTCAGTCAAGTGGCAGAGCTTATGTCTCATGAGCTAATGTGAGACGCTAGACCAGTCGTCGACCCAATTTACGGCTGGAGTCAGGCAAAAGTGGACGTTTTGAAGCATGTTGGCCTTATTCTGTGAGGGCAGGGGGGAGCGCTGATCATGCCCCAACTTCGGCCAGTCCACAAGGAAGTAGTCTTGCATAAAGATCGTTGTAGCGAGTCAAGACCGTTACTACGTCCTTACGTTGTGCTCAGTCCCCATTCTAAGGCACTTGTCCTGGTCCTTGAATATCATCCGTCAGGCTTTCACGACCTTTATTAAACCCGTGCAGATCGATGGGCCCGTACCTGCGTCCTGGTTGGCGGTGCGCCTCTCCGTCCCCATGGCAGCAGGCGGAATGGCAGCAGAGAAGGTGAGACCGACTGCCGTGGAAGGCCTTCTTTCTTCAATGTTTCCATTCGCCGGTGTGAATGGAGAGGTTTGAGAGGTCGATGCCCATGCCAGTCGGATGCTTGCGTCAGGTTCGAGGCATGTTTAGCACCAACAACGGAAAACGAAGACCGTGTTTCACACTTGCCTCCCAATTTGGGTTACGAGGGCGTGGAAATTTGTGCCAGAACTTTTGTCATGTTGGAACTAACTACAACGCTGGGCTATGCTAAATTTCAAATGAGCACTTCGACCAGTAGGCACGTTATCCAAAGACCGTGCCGCTCACCTCCGCCATTGAGAATCTCCGGTGCGAGTCGCGCATCGCTGACAGGGGCCTGCTGTTCTTGCACGTTCTGTCGACGGGGTGCTGCACATACAAGGAGTGCTAGCGAGTTGAACTTCTCATCAACCCTCCTTTGCTTAAAAGGACCAGGGGGACATTAATTCCGTGTCAGTCTTTGAGTCGGACACTATTGCGGATCTGGAAGAGTTCCGAGGAGCTAGCAGAATTGTCCAAGCGTGCTGTGGCGGTGTTCAAGAAGTCTTTGCCCCTAATTGACGCCAAATTCTGGACTGAATGCTAGCGAGTGGAACCTTCTCTGATCGAAAGTTTCTATTGAAAAGTACAATTGACTGTGATGCTAGAAATCTTTGCAAGTTTTGGAAGTCGACATGGCATTGTGGTTAGATATGTGTAGCTTTCCGTTTTACCTGTCTGGCCTTGAACCCCCTGCGCCTCCCTAGCAGTACTGCCGCTTGTTTGTGGTTGACCTTGAACATCTTCTGTAGACAAATGAGTCACCTCTTGTTTAAACGTTTTTGAGTTGCTCATCTTGTGTCTCTCTTTTTGCAGATACTGCATTCCGAAACACAAGATACGTGGTGCGGGTTGCTGCCGTTGGGTCACGGTTGATGTCTGACGTGTCCTGCACGACTTCATTTGCATATTGTCAAGGTACGTGCTCCAGATCCTCGCATTCCTTTCAGTTAAGAGAAGGAGCAAGCATACGGTTCTCACCAGGCCCCTTGGACAAGGCGACAACGTCGTGGAAGCTTCGTTTCCAGGTTCTAACTCCAACCAGTCCGTCGTTGTTTTGAGATCGCGGATCAGTCCTGACTGTTGTCAGCATGGGGGGCGCTCGCTCCGGTGTCCGGGCCACCGCCTCAAATGCGGCCTGGATTTTGTTAGCAAGGCGCGGGAGCCGTGCGGTGTGTTGGCGCTGCGCGGTGCAGTGGACAGCATGTCAGAAAAAAACTCACTCCTGGAGCAGTATTGGGATCCTTCTCAACTAAATCTCCTTTGGCAGTACCGCGATACTTTCAAACCTATTCTGCTTGGCATTGTTGCAGACGCATTGCAGCCATACGTCTAGGATCAGGAGTGCCCTTCTTTACGTCGCTGGCTTTGCCACGGTACAAATCTTTTCATTGGCAATCAGCACCTATCGAATCAGCTCATAGGCCAGCATACGACCACACTTCCAATCTGCTTATGAAGACTGCAAACATGCCTTTTTCTCCCGGTTTGTCCTCAGCTCCGTAAAGGACATTGGCCGCCCAGTTCCACTGATTCGCTGTCCTCTTTCCGATGTTTCTCCTGGAGGTGTTGTGGCCTGACGCTTCTCTCTGCGACTCTGTACAGGTGTCCAGCCATGTTCCAGGTCCTCCTCGTCAGAGTCGTAGCTGCCGAAGTGTGGTCTCGACGCTTGTGCTACAACCGCGGCATGGGGGGTGGTCTTAGGTGGAGTTTGCTGAGCCTCCAGCTGACTGGTAGGTCGCCTAGGCGTGCCATACTCCTCGACCTGCTCGACTGATGTGTCATACTGCAATTCGTCCGCAAGAATGCCTGTACCCACGTTCAAAACGGTGTCCAGAATGTGCTTAAGTCCTTCGTCAAGGCAGTAAAGCTTTTGGTAAATATGAAGGTCAGGATCAGATCGCAACATCCCGTAGTAATCTTTTGCCGCATCTACCAGGAGGCGGATTTGCTGCCGTCGGAAGGTTCGATCTGCTTGCTTTTTGGTTTCCAAGCCTTTGGAATTTTTGGTCTTTGGCCCCATCTTTATATGAAGTGGCTCAAGTGGCAGTCACACCTCAAAGTTTCATCCCATTTATAGAGACATCTCCTTTTGCAGAAAATGACGGGCCTGGCGCAGGCAATGCGGCACCTTGTTGTTGCACCCAGCTAATCCTTCGACGTTGCGTCCATGTAAGCATCCAAGTCAAAATGACAGACTTTTGTTTTGCACATCGCTTCGATTCCAGACAATCCCAGAGCACTTGGTTTGGAGGACGCACTGCAACAACCCTAATGTAGTGAATCCGAGTAAGACCGGGTGCTTAGCTTAGTGAGCAATCATGTTGAACTATATGGTTAGGGATCTCACGAATCTCAATTATGCCTCATGCCAGGTACCTCAAGTTCGAAATACTCATGCAATCGGCTCATGAGCGTGGTCGGCCGGCCCATGCATGTGCATATTTGTAGTCTTTTTAGCAGTTCAGACCGTTCATGACTGTCAGTGAGACCACTGTAGACTGTGCATCAATTTATGCGCAAGCATGCAGCTCTAGGCCTACTACCTATACATATATATGGCATGTCTCATCTCATGAGATCGCGGCTCCGGTGAGCGGGGCCTATGCTATAGGCATATCACCATTCGACAGGACCTATAAAATAATACATTGAGAATTTCCATGTAGTCGGGTATACTGTACCAGGCACCACTGAGACCGTACGGGCCCGGATTAAGTTTTTTAATTCAAACTCGACGCGTCAATCAGGCGCTGAGTGGGTTGAGGTTGTTAGGCTTGACATGCGGCCCGTGCCAACTGTGAATGCAAACTTGAAATACCGGCAGTGATGTAGGGAGTCTACTGTATCATGAATAGCTATCATTTAAGGGGAACTCCGGGAAGTCCATACTCTGTAGTCCGGAGTCGAGAGTTCTGAGTGCCGCCGTACACTGCAATTAACAACCGCCGGACGCGCGCGTGTTTTACAATCTGCGGCTGCGCTTGTGCCCGAAAAATCCGACGGTGCCGAACTTCTGAATCCCAATTTGGCTGAGGTTCCGAAACGCAGCAACCCAAATGAAGTTCGGACTAAAATTTGGGCCACTCAGAGAGCGCCATGTCAGCCCCCCCGGAAGTCGCAAGAGTGGAGGTAGCAGGCCGGTGCCTAACCGCGGTCGAAGGCCCATCCCAGAAGTGGTACGTACCACATTGTGTTGTCTGGTATCAACCGGGCACTCAGTGAGGCACAAGAGGACCGTATGCAGCCTTTCCTTCCTTAAGTGAGGAGGTTGTGGCATACGAAGGATATATTCTCCGTTATGGTCTTATTACACACAAATTCCCAACTTGATTACCCAAGAGAAAAAGCCCTACTACTAATCTATTATCTTTTTCTTCCGAAAAAGTCTATGTATGGAACTTTTTGGGTATGGCCTTACTTCGTACATATTCCCCTATAAACCCCCAAAGGGAAGACTTCCTACTGCGTATCTGTTATACTTTTCTTCTGTAAAACCAGAGGAAGAAAAATATCACAAATTTGTGCT